GAATCTTCAGACTTCAGCAATCTTCATGCAACTTCAACTGCTAACTGCTACTTCTTCAACTGCTAACTGCTCCTTCATACTTTCACTCAGAAACCTCATTCCAACTTTAAAATGTTACACATCTTTCTGACATTATTCGTGTAACACAACCTTTAAATCAGCCCTTGGTAAAGAGGCCTTCTTCAGATTTTAGAGTGCGTGATGACACAGCTAGAGTGGAGGACAGATTTAATTTTGACTTCATATTTTCTTTTAAACCTGCCATAATTTCCAAACCCTACATTCCTGAGACATAATTTCTCATGGCAAACGTAGGAAAACATCTCGTAGCTTGAAAGATAAAAAAAATTAAGCTAAATAATTAAACAAAATGCCTCTTGAGGGCATGAAGTGACAAAAACTTTCAACATGTCTCCATTAAACTCCATTGTAAATTCAGCCTCACCTTTCCCCACCACAGCAGCCACACACCTTTTGTTAATCTGCCAAAAAGGCCACATTATTAACCCGAAAGTACACAAAAAGTACACTTCAGATGCTCAAGTTCCTTGACATGCTTCACGCTTTGAAATGTCACCGATATCTGTTACGGTTCTTCAACAAAACGTTCACATATAACAGGTTTATCTCTCATTCAGAACAATGAAATGCTCTCCTCTCAATGATCACCATGGAAACCTTTGATCTCTGGACACGTCGTTAGCTCAAATATAAACACCTGTGTCATGGAACACGATGATGTCATAACTCCAATTGACATAATTAGAGCAGCAGACTAATGACGTGGTCACTGGAGTTTAACAGACTGTCTCAGCCTATTCTTTTCCGTCTAATGGAGACTTCATACTGACTTCAACATGTTCCACATATTTTAGACATTATTGGTGACGTATACTTTTAGTTCTAAAGTTTTCAGTTGAAATATTCTGCTGCTTTTTCATGCATTTAGACTTTTATTTTCTTGTTCTTATTTCACATTCAAGTCCCCTCTATTCATGAACCCTTTAATTTAAAGTACTCAGCCACACCACTTATATACCACGTGTGACTGTTGCTATGTCAGTTAGTCTTTCAAATACAAGGTTGCTTGTTTGATTCAAGCTCTTGTAGTCAATATGTCAAGGTATTTATTCCTAACATTTTATCAGCTAACTAATGACACACACTCAGAGGATCTTTATAAACGTTTTAAGTATTGCACATCTTTAAAGATTACTCTTATAAATCACTTTTAAAACCAGCGATGCACTACAGTGTCAGCTTTTCTAAAATAGAAACTTCAATGTTCACATCTTTCTAAATTATTCTACTTTTCAATGACCTACAAATAATCCTAATAATAATCCCATTTTCAATCTTCCAACTGTTCATATGTTTTGGTCAATTAACAAACCTGTTACAAATGTGTTGTTCAACAAATTTGAGCCTTTGCCACATTTATTTGATCACCATGGAAACCTATGATCTCTGGACACGTCATTAGCTCAAATATAAACACCTGTGTCATGGAAAACGATGATATCATAACTCCAACTGACATGCTCAGAGCAGCAGACTTCAGATAATGGTTAATGGTCCTGCCCTCAACAGCTCTACGTCAATTATGGGGTGTCATCATATGCCGTTTCCATGGAAACGCGTCCCTCGCCATAAAACACGATGTCGCTGTAACTCCAATGGACACGGTCCGATCGTCCCCCAAACTTCGCTTGTATATCACCAGTCCATGCCTCAACAGCTCTACGTCAAATCTGACCTCTCACCATAAGCCGTTTCCATGGAAACGCATCCCTCGCCATAAAACACGATGTCGCTGTAGCTCCAATGGACACGGTCCGGTCGTCCCACAATCTTCACCTGTATTTCACCTCTCCATGCCTCAACAGCTCTACGTCAAATCTGACCTCTCACCATATGCCGTTTCCATGGAAATGCATCCCTCGCCATAAAACACAATGTTGTCGTAACGCCTATGAAAAGGGTCAAAACAGCACCACACTTCAGATAATGGTTAACGGTCCAGCCCTCAACAGCTCTACGTCAATTATGGGGTTTCATCATATGCCGTTTCCATGGAAACGAATCCCTCGCCATACAAGACGATGTCGCTATAACTCCTATGAAAATGTTCAAAAAGTGCTCAAACTTCACATGTGTGCTAACAGTCCAGCCGTGAAGACATCTACGGGACAGTTTTGAGAACACAATGCTCGCCATGAAACACGGTTTTCTCATAACTTTAGTGAAAATGCTCCAACTGGCCCAAAACTTCACAGGTTTGGTAACAATGCAGCCATCAATGCATCTAAGCGTATTATGGGATGTCATCAAATGCCGTTGGCATGGCGACAGATCATTCACCATCAAGTTAGTTCAAAAGTTTGCAGTTCAAATATTCTGCTGCTTTTCCAAGCCTTTTTACTTTCTTTGCTTCTCTCATCATACATTCAAGCCCCCAGTGTTCATGTATCATTTCAATCTAAATTATTCACTTTCTTCTTAAACATTACATTTCAGCATAGCAGTTTAGCTTTTCAGCAAAAGCATTCCCACTAGCAATTTCTTCAGGAATTGCATTCTCTAGTTTTAAGTTATTCTTTCTTAAATAATTCAGGAATCTTTGCTTGTAATAAGCAAAATGTGCTTACATTTTTCGTTTTTGTCTAGTATCAAGGCCCATTACGGTCTTTCAGTAGCTAGATTTTAATTACATTACATGTCACTTGTTAGACGCTTTTATCCAAAGCGACCCCATTGGCAGATTTTTTTGCTTGATACAGGAAAATCTGACTTGATTCAAGAATATTTTTGCTTGTTTTTGGAAGGGCTGTTTTTGCAGTGTATCGTCTGTTTCTCTTTCGGGATGACCTTGGCCGTACAAACATTGAAGACCCCTGTGTTGTACGTTAACCAAGAGACGTTTTAGAATAAACTATTTATGGATGTGACAACGGGTTTTAGAGTTAAAGGCCTGAGGTGATTTAACATTTGACAAGATGGTGTCACTAGTGCAAATGTTGTGAGGGTTGGCACGCTGGTTGGCACACTCATTTATTGACCTGGCAACCCCTTTGGATAAAAGTTGTAAACATTTTCAACACTCAATGAAATGTACATTTTACAAATCAAGATAGTAGCCATGTTCTTGAATCAGTGACACGTGTTTTTAACTGTATCTATGGATACCCTTATGGTATGTGTTTATTGGATTGCTGGGCAACCATGACACCCCCTCAAAGCCCAATGTCTTACTTATTATTGCATGTGGTAAACACTACTAGGCTTAGAGAAAGTAGGCCTACAAATGTGGATTAACCCTTCTCTTGCGTTTCGGGTCAAAAGTGGCCGAGTGACTTTGTTTTTTTATCATAAATATTGTGTTTTTCATCCAATTGCCTCAAGACCTTATGTTATCCTCCACACTAGGCCTCTGAACATATACAATTGATCAACACCACTTGCATTGATTTTTTTGTGATTTATTTAACAGTGAAACACCCATGTTGTTTTCGGTCAGAATTGACCGCCATAGAAAATTAATGGGTATGAGTGTATTATGTTCATCCTGCAGATGGAAATAATCTCTACGCATGCGTAGAGATATTTTCCATGTGTGCACACACACACACACACACACACACACACACACACACACACACACACACACACACACACACACACACACACACACACACACACACACACACACACACACACACACACACACACACACACACACACACACACACACACACACACACACACACACACACACACACACACACACACACTTATTGTGCTTATGTCCCCCCACACCTTCCAGACAAAACAATTTACTTTAAGTTACGGGAACCTCTCACTTTTTCGCAGTAAATGCCCCTCCATTACTGTCTCTCATGCAGTTATATTTGTGCCTTGCTCACATTTGACTCATTGACTCATGAGTAGGCGACCGATTAGGCGATTTTCTGTCAGAGAGGCTCTGGACAAATGTTTTGAACCAGATGAAGACGAGATTGAACCAGACATAAAGGACGATGTCTCAGAAATGGAAGACAACAGCGATCCAGACTATGAGTCTGACCAACAGTCAACAGACCAGGAAGAGGCCCCTGAGGGAGAGGAGCCCTGAATATTAATTGTTCTCTAAATGTTCAATGAGGAAAACAGTATCAGTGTCTTATTTTATATTCCTCACAGTGAGTGAATGCAGTGAATGCAGTGAATGCTGAACTTGATGGGCCCACCGGTGGGTCCGGACCATATACTGAAAGTACACAATAAAACACTGACTTGCTTGTATCAAAAATACATCCCATATATCATCGGAACGAGAAGAATCTCAGCTACAACACCAACTAAAGCATTTCCATCTCCAGTAAACACAGCCTACATGACATAGAGAGTGACACAGTGCAAAGGAGAACAGAGAAGGAACAGGATACCATTAAGACACATTACCACTCCTCCCTAGCACTCTCTACGTGTCACCAAGGTTATATTGCTCAGGGCACACTATTGAGGCTCAGGCCTTGCATTTGTATCATTAATCATTTTAGAAGCTCTGATGTCGGCATTAAAAACGTTTATTTGATCCATTACATGACCCAAATTAGCCTTTAAGAAAGCTTGACATAATACCCATTGACAGACTTTAAGGCTTTAAGCATTTTTGAAACTCTGGCCACAAGTCAAATGTTGATATCACACTCTGTTCTCATCAGCTGTTAAAGAGAAAGAACCTGCCATCAGTGCCATGACATCATTCACTGGCATGTGGCCAGAAGTGCTTGATAGGTTTGAACCACGTTTGAACCACAAATGAATAGTCCAATCTTCTTTTTTTCATACATGGTTATCCCATTGTGTACGAAAATACTTAAGGATGGTTATATAGACCAAACTTTAAAGCTACCTTACGTGGACGCCAGGTCTGCAGTGCAGAGGTGCACCAAATATCCCGTCGCGGCGTCACAGTGAATGAATGCAACCTACCCTCGGTTACTTGGATGAAGGCGGTGCTAGTGGTGGCCAAGCAGTAGGGCCTTGCCTTTGTGGTTGTAGAAAGAGAAGATGGCTCCCGTTCTGGAGAAACAGCTCCCGGGCGCAGCCGACAATAACAACGAAGATGAAGAAGGACAAAACCTTTGGCAAGTTCCTGTTTTTCTGTTTTACTCTTACATGTTTACCGAGGCACGTCTCGGAAAAGACCAAATGCTTTGGTTCTGCTTTGTCACTGACGGTTGCTGACAACCAGACACCGGCCCGGTTAGCAGGAACATTAGCAAGAAGCTGGGCGGTCAACGGTACTCCTGCTAACAGCCCAGCTAACTAAAGCAAAGTGCCGATTAGCTACATTGTAGTTAGCAAATATTGTTCATTAGACGAGTTAACAGTTTCAGGCAAAGTTATTGAATCGACGAGTCAAGTGTCTCTCTTGTTTGAGAGACTTCTAGTTCATGTCATGACAACACCTTAACACCAGCTCATGTTATGCAGGATACAAGCTAACAGGAACTTTAATAGAAAGTATAACCGACTAACTGAAGTTTAATTCTGCAGAAATATATCTTGGCTTTACTCGACGCTTGTCACAAGGGCTCGTATCGTTATTGGGCTTGACATGTTTCATATATTCAGATCCATAGCTACTTTTATCTGTAAGTAACGTTGCCGGGTCAGTGGATATGACTTATCATTTCCTGCTTTTTTCAAGTGTTGTCGTGGACACACACAGGGCTGACTTAACTCTTGCTGAATCGGTTGAATAATCTTCTTGAACAGTACAAGTAATAGTTAAGTTATGTTACATACTGTAGCTAGCTGATCTATAACTGTTTTGGTAGCAACATATGTAGCTGTCATTGTGCCACTTGGCTGTCAAGCTAACGGGACACTCTGTTTTTGTTGTAGGACCGAAATTCTGAGTGAAGTTTCTACTACATCAAGTTCAAAGTTGCCATCAGGGAAAAATATCCTGTTATTTGGTAAGTGCAACTCGTTCTAGATGTGTGAAATTCTATGTTTCTGCAATGTTTGGAGTTTGTCTGTTTGTCAAGTGCAAAAACAAAAGCTTATTATAGGAAATAAATACTTTTCTGATTTATTAAATAGTCTGCAGGCCTGGCTATGTTTCTTGCCACATTCTGTAAAGGAAAGCAAAATAAACACAATATACAAAGAGTATGTCTCGGTTAGGGTCGTGTGACTTTCAAATATTAAGTAATACATTTATTGACCAGAAAAATGTGTGCCAGCCTCTTGACAGCCATAAAACATGAGGCTAGTAATTGTATTTAAGGCATATAACATAATACATGAATGACATATCTTACAGGCGAAGATGGATCCGGAAAAACAGCACTTATGGCCAAACTTCAAGGAACTGATCACAACAAGAGAGGGAGAGGACTGGAGTATCTGTACCTAAATGTCCATGACGAGGACAGAGATGGTGAGTTAACCTGTTTTATCTTTACCTGTGTTTGTTTAACAGCAGTAGTCTTTGCAAAATGACTGTAGTTTAAAACAATAATAGTATTGCTTGTATTAAACTGGTATTTTGTCTTTTTCTTTGCAGACCTTACTCGCTGTAGCGTGTGGATCCTGGATGGAGACCTATACCACAAAGGCCTACTCAAGTTTGCTGTCTCTCCTCAGTCTCTACCTAACTGTCTAGCTGTGTTTGTTGCGGACATGTCACGGCCCTGGACCATTATGGAGTCTTTGCAGAAATGGGCCAGTGTGCTACGTGACCATGTGGACAAACTCAAGATCCCACCAGAGGACATTAGAGAAATGGAGCAGAACAGTAAGTAATGTTTGAATTGATATACCTATGAGTGATTATGCCGTACTCTCTTATAGTACGGCCCTACCTTAGAAATTGTACACTTCATCATGTGCATTGATTGTTCACTGGTGGAGCATTTGACCAATGTAAAATAAACATGTAGGTGATAATTGAATTCAATTTGATTGATGAAACGATCACCATTATGTTAAATGTAATGAATGGCAGCGACGAGCATACAGCCTCACCAGTCTTACATACGTTTAAGCAGACCGTTGGTTAAGACTGATATAAGTTGTCAATTTTAGGTTTTAGTGTCTCAATATGCAACAACCTGAGACGAAAATGAAAATATGACACACCTAGACTTTGATTAATTGTAAGATTTGAAGAGGGTTTGAATGAAGAAGCTCTTAAGAATTCCTGAAGAATCCCAGGGTGGAATCATTGTTAGTCTTACATAATTAGAGGCAGTCTCCTTGCTGACTGGCTTCAAGGAAAAGAAAGTGGTCGCTGAGTACCTTGCCAGGCGAGCACTGTGTAACATTACACATTGTCATGGATGTTTCTAGGTCATCATCAGAGGGGCCCATGATCCTCAGCTGTTTGTTTTGGCTAGAGGCGAGTTCTGCAGATCAATGAGTGTGATTCACTCAGATGTTGTTCTCCTGTTAATTTTAGAACATCATCTCTCCCTTATGAACAGTTCTTTTGTGTTTAGGGGCTTACAAGTTAGTTGAGTCTGCAGGGTTTAACAGAGAGTTCTTGTTAGGCACCAAAGATTCCGTACTGCTCTTACAAGTCTATAAGAACTAATCACAAAGAAGCATCATTATTTAATGATTTTTTAATTAATGTTACAGAACAGGTTCTGAATATATAACATGCTCAAGCAGTGACATGTGTTTACAAGTCTGCTGGCAAGTTTAAAAGACAAAGTATATCCAGTTGCCAAGTGATGACTAGCACATGGTTAATGATTTTTAGTGCGTCTACATTTCTATCTTGTTTTACTGCATTACTTAAGTTATGGTGGGTATATGAGTTAAGACTGAATGAATGCATTGAATAAACAAGCAGTAGAAAGGAAACACTGCCTGAAATGTATACACTGTAACTTGTATTCATTAAATATTCGTGAGAGCATATATTGCAGTTGTAATTGTAGGGTTGTGTACTCTTTAATGATCTTTTCTTGAAGTCTTAACATTGAAACTGTTTTGTCAAATTCGTCTTGGCTTTCTCCTACTTTCCTCTCTTTGGCAAGATATTTTTGAACAGTCCAGCCGTGATGTCAGTAGCAGATTGGTGAGACCTCGTTAGATTACATATTTGTAGACATGAGTATTTGAGTGACAAATACAGATAGACTGTGAGTGGCTTTTTTTCCAGCGAGTCTTGCAGGCGTCTTGCATCATGGTTCCCTCCCCTCCAACAGCAGCGTCAGGGAGAAGGAGGAAGGGACGTAAAGTGAGAGGGTCTGAATTCATTGTGTGGGCCGGACGTTCTGCTCTAACTCTAGTCGGCTGGCTGCTGGAAACGTCTCAAGTTGAATGACCTGTTCAAACTATTGCTGGACCACACATTTAAATGAGAAATATGTCGCTTTATGACTGATGTGGTAGTAACGTCACAGAGACTTTTAGCTACAGTATTTTGGAATGGTGTGCAGGCATTAAGCAAACAACTTTGGTATTTTGTTTTGACTCTGCTTCTCTGAAATCAGAGGAAAGAAGTAACCAGACAGCTTTAAAAATCAACCCATCAGCCAAGCAGCATTAACTAAACAGATTAAGAGTAAATGTCAGGCTTTTTTTACAACAGCCAGACACACCGAATTTGCTTATTTGACATTTAGTTATCCAGGAAAGATACATTTAATTTCTAGCTGAACTTTAGCTACAAATATTATACAACATATTCAAGCAAACTAATATTCATTTTCATGCTCTCAATTATTGCAGTTATGTTCTTTTGGTATTTAAAAAAGGAAACCTTTAAGAGTTACTGTATAACACATGTATGGAAGGTTGAGCAGTTGTCGATTATGTTTGCCAACATTTTTTGACCCCACCTTTGTTTGAATAACAGTTAGACAGACTTTGTCCCACTAAGACACATCATCATGTACTTGCCATAACATAACATATCCGAACATCCATACAAGATACTCAAGTCATATTTTATTTAAAACACATTTCATTGCTAAGCTTTCTCGGACACGGTTGTGGTGAAGATAGAACACCATAATAAATGACTGGCAGTTAATGTTTGAGCGATGTTTATTTGTATCTAGCAGCTACTCCTATTTTATCTTAATTATTTCTAGCATGCCATGTCTTGGCCGAGCAGACCCCCTGTGAAGCTTAAACTGCACAGGAAAGGATTAGATCGAATTCAGATTTTTGCTGCAGTCATCCATTCAATATTCTTTTATATTAGGTCCAGATGTCTTCTGTATAAACCCCTCTGAAGGATATTTTCAATAGTAATACATTTGAATGGTTATAAATCAGCATGTTGAATAGTGTACATAATACCAAACTATTTGTGCATGTGCACTAGATTTGTGTTAATCCTGTGTCCAATGATAGTTACTCTTTAGATTGCTTGTACTATTAGTCCTCGCCCTAAATACTAAATTCCATGTTTAAAAGTTAAGAAGTTGGCTCGAAATGGCAATCTGGCTTTGTTGGCTCACCCCTACTGCGTTTCCAAAGCTCCTGAGGAAGTAGGCCAGAGCTTCCTGCTTACAGTCCCCTCCCCTCCCCTCCACCCCCCCCCTTCCCTGCCTCCACCTCCCCTCCCTTTCATGCTATAGCTTTCTAAATGTCTGGACAGCTGTAGAATCAAACTTCCCACTTCAGGAAAGTAAAGGATGCCATGTATGTATCTGTTTTTCTTTTTACCAAAGGTCTATTATGTGACTTTTGATATTGTGTCCATGTATACTACACAATACAGGACCTATAATATTAATGACTTGCTATTTGTATTCACATTTGGATTATATCAATTATTTCTTCATGAAGATCAGGAATATTTTAATATGCCAGTTAACGGCCATTCATTGGTGTTGACCCTTTTATTTGAGACAATGGGCCAAATGCATAAGCAATAAGGACACAAGTTCTCTAACTTCTTTTTTGGTACTCATTGATTTCTGTAATTTACCATTTGTTTTGTTCATTCAAAGTAACTCCAAAACGCAAAGAAACAAATGTTTTGAACATTGAAATAATAACAAAACATAATCTAAATATGATTTTAATATGTTGCAGAGTAATAATTACATTAGTATAATAGAGTGTTTGGTGCATCTTGGGTTTTAGAAATGTAACAGAATGTGTCAGCATGAGGCCCACAGTTTGAGGTGGAGCGCATCAATTAGTACTGTTCATTAAAGCAGGGGATGTCTGGTTCTGTAACTACACCAAAGGTTCCCCTGAAGGTCAAGTGCAGATGATGGCTACAGACAGACCAAGTGGAGAATTCTTACAGCTTTCAAGACTTTCAGCTTAATGTTATTGTGTTTTTTTTGTGTTTGAATAGTTTGTTACTACAATGACTAAGGGTGCGTTCACACCTGCCTTGTATAGTCCGGTTGAATTGAACCCTGGTGCGTTTAGCCGCTTGGTGCGGTTCATTTGGGTCGGTGTGAACATAGTCCGAGACCTCTTAAGTGAACTAAACAACCGGACTCTGGTCCGCTAAAATAGGTGGTCTCGGAACGCTTGCTTGCGAACTCTGGAGCGGTTCATTGCTGGTGTGAACGCAGTCCGCACCAAAACATAGGAAGCGTAGTATTTACGTGTCACAAGAACGCGGATGTCTTCAAAATCTTTAGCGAAAGAGTCTTTCAAGACATCCGCGGTTGTTAAGTTAAAGAGTGAAGCAGAATGAAGTGTTGAACAGTGTCGTGTAAAGTAAAAATGCTCCGTCAACTACATAAAATTAAGAACACCTGTCGTCAGTGAAACGCCCCTCTTTACTGCAGAACGTCTCATTATATGTGTTATAATGTTTTTGAACGGACGTTGTCTGATTAGTGATTATATAATCATATGCGCGGGCCGCTACAGTCTGTTGATCTCCAGATTAACAGCAGCATGAGAATAACCTGCCGAAAGTGCCGATGCTCCATGGCGGAGGCTCCGGTAGAAATGGCCGGGATTTGCGTTTTTACCCCTTTAATGTCTCACCAATTGTTGAACAGCATTTCCGTGCACATGACTTGTGTTTAAAGTTTATAGTCCGTTTGAGTTTTGCCCTGAATGCAAACCGAACCTTCTGAAAAATGAAACAATGTAACAAACTGTGGTGCGCACCAGAGAAGCGGGCTATTAGGTGTGAATAAGTCATCTTGCTCAATGTGTTGCTAATGCCTGGATTATTTGTAGTTACGATTGTTTGTAAATAGGCAGTTAAACAACTTGTGCCCAGGATCCTGAGAGTGTTATTCTGTGTTTTGGATCACTACACTTCAGAGAGAGCTAACATGACCAAAGTGAACATTATTATTATTAGACTGCCAGTGTAGGAAAGAGAAGCAGAGGCAGGTTTACTGTAGTCTTCATAAATACTGTTGGTCACATGTTTTAGTCATGACTACTTGACCTTCTAAAAATAAAAAAATGTTGGGTAAAATTTGAAATGTTTATTATGTTGTGGTGTTCACTTATAACTAATTACATTCTTTATTTTGCTTCCTGCGTCTCTCCGCTAGTGGTGAAAGCGTTCCAAGAGTACACAGAACCAGAGGATGCCGCCCAGTCCTCCCCACAGAGACGGGCCCCCACAGCAGGGGAAGACGAGGCCGTTGTGCTCCCACTGGGAGAGAGCACACTCACACACAACCTGGGCATTCCAGTGCTAATAGTTTGCACAAAGGTAAATATGTCCTACATGCAAAAAGTCTTATGTTTGAAGCCATAGACTCTTATCAACAGACAATAATGTTTTGTTGTTGCTCCAAGGTTTTTACCAATCTATCAAAGATTTTTTGAGGTACTTCACTCTGAGATAAGATATTTGCTAGTTCTCTGACGGATAAAACATCCTTGTCACCAGAGTCAAAAGAATGATAATCGAATGCAATACTTAATCATGGCTATGCAGTACAACAAAATTGTTCCGTTAGCTACAAAAGAAAGCAACAAACCCTAATGCAAAAACATCACTGTTGTTTTGTGTTTGGTGTTTTTCCAAATGTGATGTCAAATCTTTACTGGTTTATCGAAAAGCATGAGATTGTTTAACCCATTTTCATTTCCTAAAAAGTGCAACTTACCTTAATCTTTACATCTGGCTAATTTGGTTTTAAGAAATTGTACTTGTCCTATCTTTGCCCCCTAATGAGCCTTCTGTTTCCATTGCATTTAGCAGTTCCTCAAAGAGCTCCTAATTCACAATATCCTCATAAAAAGCCTGAGAAACACATGGTCCACCCCCTAAGTAACATCCTGCCGCTCACTCCTTAGTTGCTGAATGGTTTTCCAGAAGCTCATTCAGCCCACATGTGGCTGTGGTTCATAGCTTCTCTAAACTCCCCTTACTCCCTTGGATCTGCTTTTTTAAACATGTGTAGCCCAAGCAGTTCTAGACTGTTCCTGTAGGAACCTCTCACAACTTTCCCCTGATCTGCCTGAGACAAACAGGCACAGGAAGCCTCTTTTTAACTCCATCACAGCCGTGCTTACTGCTGGTTTCCTTCTGCTGGGTTCTTTAATGGCCTCCATGATGCGCACATTCAGGCTCAGACCTTTTATACATGCTTTTTATGTTGTGCTTTGTGAGGCAGCAAACTCTAATAAAAAGCAGCCATTATACTTGCCTGTTAACCCTCCAGGCAAATGCTAGTGCTGAAAAACACCCTATAGCCGTCAGCAGAGCTTCACATGCTAGCCGTGACATGGTGAATGTGCTCTTTATCACTGGTGCTTCTATCTAGCTGTCATCGGAGAAGAAATGTTCAGCTTTAGAAAAAGTTGAAGACTATAGTTTGCTGTTCAAAAGTAGTTCAATTGGGCTGTCAATCTTCTGTTGACCATCACAACTTCTGGCAAGACTAATCATGGAAACTTCACCAGAAGGACAATAAACACTAAAGCAACACATCATCTCTGCCTGGAGCCTCCCAAGGGCATGTTTCTCCCCCTTGTTCCTATGACAACACACCACACTAACTCCTACCTCCGCCATCAACTGTCTCTGTCCTCTGCATCCACTATACTTTCAGAGGCTGTCAAAAATGATCCTCGCCAGGCAGACTAATATGAAAACCAACAGAAAAACGATTGGTCTGTAAAATTGTTGTGCTGTGAAAAACCTGTTATGGAAATGATGTTTCACTCTATGCAAAACAACAACACTGGAGGCGAAGCTTATCAATTTGTGCATTACCCTAGTCAGTTAGGGGACTTTTAGGAATACCATCTAGAATCACAACAAAGGACACTGTAAAATGGGCTCAGGATGTAGGGAGCAGTCTTCATGTTTTTCATCCTGACTTTTCATTGTCTGTCATTAAATGTGTATCTCTTTTCCTCTCTCTATTTCTCCTCAAGTGTGACGCAGTCGGCGTTCTAGAGAAAGAGCACGATTTCAGAGATGAGCACTTTGATTTCATCCAGTCCAACGTCAGGCGATTTTGCTTACAGTGTATCCTTCCAATACACGATTGTTTACAATTCTATCACAAATGTCATGATACCTATATGATTGAGTGTTCTAAATGTTGTTCATATTGCACATGAGGTTTATTTATTGTCATCAATTAATCGACCATCTACATCGTTGACCCAACAAGCCTTAATTTAAGTAAACAGATGGAGCTGGCCTGATCTATACTTCCGTCAAAGAGGAGAAGAACCTGGATCTGCTTTACAAATATATAGTGCATAAGATGTATGACTTCAAGTTCACCTCACCAGCCTTAGTGGTAGAGAAGGATGCAGTGTTCATGTGAGTAAAGCTATTTTATTTTAACTTAATCATGTTTATTTTTTGCCAACAGCCATTTTTCTTTCTTCTTTTGTTATCACTGACATAGCAAAACCAAATCTCCAATTTAGTCACAGAAAAATCCTCCAAACCAGAAATCAGATCATTGTGTCCCCTTTTTTGAACTGTCTCTTTTTCCTTTCAGTCCATGTGGATGGGATAATGAGAAGAAAATTGCGATTTTGCATGAAAACCTAACAACAGTCAGACCAGACGATCCATTTGAAGATTTTATCACAATGCCTCCAGTACGAAAGGTATGGCAGATCAAACTAAATGTGAAGTTTTAGAGTATGAAATCACAACCTGAAGTGCTAAATGAATAAGAACATGCTTTCTCCTTTGCTCTTGTTTACAGCTGGTACATGACAAAGAGATTAATGCAGAGGATGAGCAGGTTTTCCTAATGAAGCAACAGGTATGTGTCAGTCTTTCTTGAATATTTCATATGTTCTGTCTGCGACTGCCAAGTTTGACAGTGAATTGAAGAATTTACTCCCCTGATTAAACAGGAAAGCATAGTACTGATATTTCCAAATGGTGTAGGTGCTTTAGAAGTGAAACATGAGACATGGTAGCCTGAACAAAAAAACATTGTTTTCCATTCAGTGAATAAGTAGACCCAAGAATCCTTTTGTACATTTTTACTGATTCTGAACAAGCACATTTCGATGTTGTATATGTGATACTTCCACCTGACTTTGCCTTCACTTCCTATTTTGTACACAAATAAACCAGGAAGGAGATCTAATAAAAAAACTTAACAGAGGTTTTTGTTTCGCAAGATAGAAAATTATTTAATAGTTACACTTTTAGTTTTCTCTACAAAATGTAATGTAATGCATCTTTGCTGAATGTCCCTGTTAGAGACATCTAAATTAAATTTTTTAAAGAATTATTCTATTATCTTGAATAAATGGTATAAATATGTATGTTTTATAATTAGTAAACCCTTTTGCATATTGCCTTAAATGGATTGTGCATGGAAAGTATTAGTTTAACCATGGCGGAATAAAGATGTTTACTTTTATTCCCCTACAGTCTTTGTTATCAAAGCAGCCCGCCACACCAACCAGAGGAGCAACAGTAAGTGTCTTAAAGTCCCTGTAATGTGCAATATTTGTAGTGGATGGATTTATTCCTCTTGCCACTTTATCCGATTTCTCCTCGATAGACACGCTTGTGTTTCTGACCACAGTCCTGTCCTGGTTTGTGTGTTGCAGGAGTCTCCGGGCAGGACCACCTCGGGGTCTCCCCGACCTGCAGGCCGCGCCGGCCAACCCAACATGACCAGCAGCTCACCAATGGCTGCTGTCAAAAAGCCAGACCCCAACATGAAAGGTAGAAGCTCTAGTGCTCATTAATCTTCATATACGATTATTGAGAATCATAGTTTTCTCTCCAGTGCTCTCTTGATTTTCATGGGGTGCATGTTTTGAAACAAATTGTAAGACCCCCGTAGAAGAATAACAATGATAAAACATTTTAGATCACAGTTGTTTTCTACTCTCCTACGTCTGAAGAGGTAGCAACTAAAATGATTAACATAACAACAAATTCCTTCACACCTCCTGAGCTCAGCATAAAGCAGAAGTATTTACTTTCTCTCCTTCATTCCGTGCAGTAGGGTGCTGGTGCATTCCAGCTACATTGGGTTTAGCTGGATTTAATATAGGTCTCTTAACCCTTGCCTATTGTGGTTTGCAGACTAGACTGTGTGACTTCAACACAATTTCTTCCCCTTTTTTGTAACGTTTTTACTTTTTTTAATTTCTTCCTTCTCCAAATCAAGGATCCTAAGATAGATTGTGTCATAGAATTGACATTTCAATAAAAAGTTCACTCAAGATAACTCTGATTGCTTATCTGGAATCATAACATTATCAGATGTTAAGCATTAAAGCACAAAAGTCTGTTTATAATCAGCCGGTTTTCTCAGTATTGTACGTGTTGAAGGAGTGACTGAAAACTCAATAATTAAGTATAGTATATGTGTATATGTTCAACCTATTTTTAAAACTGCCGAACAGAAAAGGAAGTTTTCCATATTACAGAAGGGATTTTAAGCTTTATGTTTCTCCTGCAGCGGGGGCGGCCAATGAGGGAGTGCTGGCTAACTTCTTCAACAGTCTGCTGAGTAAAAAGACCGGATCCCCAGGAAGCCCCGGGAGTCCGGGAAGTGGAGCCGTTGGAGCTGGAGTGCAAGGGTCCGCCAAGAAAACAGGTACCATCTCTTATTCCAGCATGCTCACCTCTGAACTCAGTCAAACAGTAGCCTCACTGTTTTTAATCATTCTACCTCACAGGTTAGCAGTTGTTCTTTAATTAAAAAAAATGTTTACTACAGCATCTTGTGTATTGAGATCTCAAATCACGCCTGGGAGAGAGAAAGAGAGAGAAAAGTTAAATCAATAGAAAAATAAAAGTTGTCTTTGACTAAACATCTGAGGAAACTTGTGACAGGCCTGTATGCACCAAACCTCCACTCATAAACGTCCTCCATACAACTAATGTCACTCACTCCATGTCATATCTCTTGCTCAACTAATGTGTTATGCTTGAGTAAACACGGCTGTTTCGCATGTCAACCAGCTTCATTTTTTTTACTTTGTTACATCAGGTAAATGTAACAAAGTCAAATACTGGCTGAATGTACTACGCAGTAAAAACATTGAAGGAACCATTGCATAACTCATCTCTCCGTTGACATGTACCTCTACTTCCAGTGCTGAGCTGTGGTAACATTTATCTGACCCAGCTGGAAGGGGAACGCATGAGAATGTTTCCTTTGTCCGATGATACGTTTTGCATGAGTGTTAACTGTGGCAGCGAGCAGCCACACTCCAGCGTGGGACCGCCTCACCATCCCACCTTCATCTGTCTGCTTACTGCCTGTAGAAAACTGTTCATTTTGAATACACACAGAGACTACAGGAGATTACTTTTGGACTTTGTCTCCTGTTTTTCCAAGGGCAGAAGCCGGGTTTGACTGACGTCCAGGCGGAGTTGGACCGGATGACTCGCAAACAGGACTCCATGGTTTCAGCTAACAACGTACCGCCGCCGACAGGGAACGAAGCGTGAAGGCAACAAAAACAGTTGCGTTAATACTCTGGAATTATACATGTACATGTGAGCATAAAAAATTGACCAAATTCCCAATGTCTATATCAGTCAGCACACAGTGGTTTCACCAAAAGGAGTTTCAGATGCTATCAGATATGTTGGTGTTCTGGTGGGATGGGAAGAGAGACACAACAGAGATGAAGCTGTTGCTTATAGGTGCTACACGCTAAAGGCGTGGCTTTATTTCTGTCCTCTCTTCCACTGTAAATGTAATTTTGTGAGGGATGTTGGTTTATTGAAATGTGTGCACACCCCCAGGCAGCCAGCTCGATGCGCTGGGCTGCAGGCCCCCCAGTTTCTGGGGTTAACTCCCTCTCCTCATGGGATTAAAGAGTGGAAATCTACCGGTCATGTGGCCTCTGGGTCAGCTTATCTCATGGAAGAAATTTGGTCACGATTGGAAAGGTATTTCAACTTTACATTTAGAAAAAATATTAGAATACTTGCAAACATATGTATGTACAACATATTGGATATGATACTGATGTATTTTATTTTGTGCACCATTAACCGGTTTAAAGAAAAAATGTGTCTGTATCGCAAAACATGTTAAAATGCCACTGACGTCATGACACTAATTTGACAAGTCCAGATAGCTGAAAGCATATCATATAATTTTCCCTAATAATCTCGAAGAATTCTGTAAATATATATACAAAAAAATCTATTCAGGTTAACTTTGATTTTGTATAAAAATGCAATTCTGTCAACATTTTAAAAAATAGCTTCTTTGGCTAAATGAGAATGGGATTTGATGAGTTTAGAGGTTGCGATGGAACCACTTATTTTGCTACAGGTGTGTATATTTGGGGATTGGGTTAGGCGGCATCTTTCCTACTATAACTCCTAAGTGCCTCGCACAGTTAGCTGTTTGTTTCATAGTAGAAATGCTTGTCTTCGTAAGAGGAAATGCACTGTAGCACCATCGGTTAAAAGGTTTTTGTCCATTTTTTGACATCCAAATAATTTATTTCGTTTTACATTTTTGTTAATGTACAATAAGCCTGTGGTCTGTTATTTTTCAGAAACTAGATTTCTGTGGCCTACTTGATGGTATTCAATAGAGCATTAGATTGAATGCCTTAATGAAAACTGTAAAGGCTGCTCATATTTAGAAGGAACCACACAACAACACTCACTGTGGTGGAAACCACTCGCTTTGCAGCCAAAAGACAAACAATGAATTGCTGTGGTGTGATCAAAATGACGTATAGTATCATACAGTGTCTGACAGCACTCTCCTCCTTTGGGTTCGCATGTTTTATTCACACTGTACTTTGCATATCTGTTAAACATTCCCCGTTTTCACATGGAATAGCTGTAGAAACACATCCCAGTAGTGAAACCCGTTTGTCCGTCTCCTTCAGTGCCCTGTTTAAAATAACAACCTTTGCCTTCACTGTACAGCTAACAGTTTGTCACAACGGCCACCTTGCCTTCACAGGAATGCTCCTAATACTTGTGTGTCCTTAAGGGGTTGCTCAACTGTGTCCAGACATTTTTTCTTTTTTTAATATAAAATGATTATACTGTACCATATCAAATAATCTGTACAACTATTTATGGTTTCAGGTCACCATAATCTAATTAAAATGAAGTGTACATCATCATTAAGTCTGTATGCAAGGCCCTACTTAATCTTATGAATAGTGTTCATCGAAAGCCTACATTGAGCACTATGTCTACATTGGCCTACACTGAAAGGCAAGCAGAGGAGTGCTGTTATATGCTATAAAAAGATTGGGATGTGGAACCAAAGATGCATTTTAGTCAAGTTGTTCTGCTTTTAAAGTTGGTAATAGTCCTTAAGATTAACCAGTGGATGCTTTCTCGTCCCACTCTTGCCTATAATCCTAAACTTCAGACCTGAATATGAATTCTTGTTTTCATAACATCCTAATGGTAGAAAATGCCTTACTCCATTCAACCATAACCGTGGTTTCATTGTTCAATATACTATGCCATAATTATGGACAGTCGATTATGGTACATTCTCTAAACTGGTCTACAAATGCAATGCAATTGCCACAAGACCATACTGGTGTACAGTATACTTTATGCATGATTTGATTTAAAATGATACTACACAACTTTTCTGGATTTATTTTTGATTAAAATTAAGCTCTTCTTGTTTTGTTTTTTTGTGACTGTGGAATGTTCAAGCCTGTGGCCGAAGCACAATTTAATAACAGCCAGGAGAAGTACGGCCACATGTAATAAGCACTTTTCCTTGGACACTTGTATCAATTCCCTATTCCTACAGTTAAATAAAGAATGCATATCACTTTTGTTTTTGCTTTGCCCTTTTAGAATATTTAGTAATGAAACTAGAAGCTAATCTCCCGAGTAAAACTGCATTATTTATCTGCATTTGCTGCTTAAGTTATGGAAGGTGCCCCTTGTGGTTACTATGGAATAACTGCTTTCTACTGGTGATTCTTTTCTTTTTTAATATAATAAATCCTTTAAAATCATTGATATTACACCTGTGATAGGGGCATATTTTGGGGATCTTGCAATAGATAAACCAAAACAAAATGTCAATTCATTTTCAGGTTTGACCTATGCCTTTTTGCCCATGAATCACCTCTTGTTTATGTTTACAACCTATTTAAAATGTGTTTGTGATGCCCTTTGACACTTTCTGTTTAGAATAATTTGAAATGCCATCCTAACCTGACTGACATTTCTTCATAAAATGGCCACACTTGTTTAATTTGGCATTTAGCTAAGCAGAATGAAGTGCTCTCATGCGGCTTGGTGTCAAAGTTGTACTCGCTCTTTATTAGGGTTTTATGTTTCTCCCAAAGTTGAATAATGAACAGTTGTTTTAACTTTTGTATTCAAACGTCTGCCTCCTCACATGCTAACTGAATTGCCTTCGACCACTATTGTCAGTCCACATCTATACAAGACAATGAGCTTCTGCTTCCAGTCCTTTTGTATTCAGGATATCGAGACATTGTAAGCACATGGCTGGCTGCATTTGTGTGTCCTGAATTAATTTAGAAGTTTGATTGTATGACTTTAACACATTTCTGTAGCCTTTCCGCTGCCGTGTGGATTCTCGCTTCTTATGCCGACAAAGATAAGGAACATGTTTATCAGACCCCTGGCTTCAATAAAACCAAGAATCCAAACTTTGGTGGACCTTCACATTTTTGCATTTAATTGTACAATGTATGTTGATTTGATTGATTTGAATTACCTGACAACCCCTAACGCCACCCCTCACACTCTCAAAGAAAATGGGCATTAATGGAAACTATGGTGACGGTTGCTCCATCAGAAAGATAATGTACATTTCTAAAAATGCAAGATTGTTTACTATTGAACTTTTAATGTCTTAAAATGGTTAAAATACAAATTCAAATCACCTATCGTCGCTTTGCTGCTAAATATCATAATTATACTACAGTAATAATGTATTCCACCAGAATCGTGCTGTGTATGTTAAATATCATACTCTTTCTGATGGGACTCCTATAGAGATTATTTCTAATACGATTTATTTAAACAAACTTATTTAGTCATAGTTTTTATTCCAGTCATCCTTTTTTAATTGAACTGCTTATATTCATCATACTACTCCAAAGTCCCCTCGTTGAAGCCAACATTGCACATTTTATTGGCCGAGGAATTACTAGAAAAACAGTAAGGGTCAGTTTGCACATTTCTGTTTTACATTAGATCAGAGTCTTTAATCATTGTTGTCGCCCAGCAGGGCCACTTTAAGACGGAACTGTACTGTTGGATTTCAAGTATCAGATATGCAGCATCTCTGGCCATTATCACCTACACACAGCTATCAATACCACAGCCTTCCATACGAGGGCAGCGAAACACAGTTTACTTAATTTAAAATCAGATCTTTCCCTGAATTCTGAAAGTTTATTTGACATGACATCTGATAGAAATCCAGGATGTTTGCTGTCACACATCTGTTAATCAATTCATCTATTTCTTGCTAGGGCTGTTTTCTTTCATTTGGATGAAGAATACAGTAACATCCATTTAGTTTCTTATAATTTGAGGATTTGTTTTAAAGTAACAATAGGCTTTGAAAGATAATACAGCCAACTTTTCCAGGATAATTGTAGGCATAGGCTCCTTAAAGACAGTAAAAACTCCATACTGCTTTCTGACTGCAACCCTCAGGAGAATAGACATAATCGTATCAGACCTAGCTGCAGGCGTATACTGACGGTGAGAAAGGACCAGTGCAAGAACCAGAAGAAAAGCGGCATAGCTCCGTCCTGTCGGCGTGGTTCCGGCTGGATTCGTTTTGCAGGCTGTTAGGGAATACTTAAAACTGGCGCAGAGCCTACACAAGAATGTGCAGTTTTCAGAGGGGCGGAGACAAGCTTGCCTCGCATCCATAGTGAGGAAAGCGGCGTACAGGCAGCCTCACTGTAGGCTGCTGCAGGGACTTGCATAAGTTTACAATAGGGAACACAAAGCTTCTCTCTCGGTTCTTCCCGGCCATAATGGGCGGATGTTTTTCGGTCGCTCAGACGAGTCACACAGCCCGGTAGGCATTTGTGTCCCGATGCGATGCTGCTGAACTAACCAGAATCGTACACGGTGGAGTGACACTGGGACTCGAACAAGTGACCCGCCTAACATAGTTAGAAGTGCGGCTATTTTTGGAGAGACGCAACATTGTACCCAGGAGGAATCAGCGCATGGTCACATCCACGGACCCCAGCCTGGTATTTCTGCGCGTGATATTGCAGAGCACCCTCCGCGGCTGCTTCCCCGTGGGGCGGCTCTGAAAAGTGGACCGTCTGGTTTGTTTTCTCCATCCACTTCGAACCTGCATGGAACAAAGTGTGCTTTCTGAAACATAACCTGCTGTCTTGAGGTGGATCCAGGCGGTTTGTCAGCGTGGGGTTTTATGTGGTAACATTGCCTGTCGAGATTCCAGCTCCTGCCGACCTGCATCATGAGGACCACCGAGGATGCAGAGGGCTTTGACGGCGAGGCCTCCAACACCTCCATGATCTCCGGGGCCAGCAGCCCGTATCAGCCCACCACCGAGCCCGTCCTCTCTAGGAACGTTCTGGGGGGGATAAGGTGCGACATGGAGTACCTGAAGTCATACTTTGGGATTTTAAAGGTGGTTGAAGTGGTAAGTGTGAGAACGACGCTAAATTACTGTAACATTCAAAGATGTACAGCCTCATTGAAGTTAGTAACACAAACTATGACGCACCATTGTTGGAGAACATCAACTAAGCAGCCGGCTGAAGGCACGTTGGCCATATGTTAGTGGTCACTAACATATGGCCAACGTACCTTCAGGGAAAGTACTGTTTTCCTCAAAGCAATGTCTTCAATGCAGTATGTTTTAACACTCATACTTACAGACAGTTTTCCTGAAATAGTAAACTCAAAATTGTAATTCAACTCAAAGTTGCTCCACAGGTCTTGGTTTGTTTATCCTGTATCACATAACTTATAGTGGACAGTCAGGTTTCATGCTAACAGTAGCTATGACGACCCCATTACGCTTAAATATGAGCTTGAATTCTCTACGGATTACCCTTCTCGATTTAGTAACGCTTTGCACACCTTGCTAAACGTTGTTTGTTTCCGGTAGACTCTTATTCTGAAGGATGCTCATTGGCTTCAACAACATGTTTACAGTATTTCAATGGTTCCCCCCACAGTGCCTTACTAGTGATTTCATAGTGTCTGTCTCGTGATACTTTGTCTATTGTGACATAATTGTGTTTATTAGGGACTTGGCAACCTTTGGTTTTAATCTAAATCACTTCTTTATTGGAATGCATTGCTGCTATTCCAATGCTGCAAAGTCCTTAAATGTGTTTAATCATTGCTTTCCCACTCAACAATGCCCCAGTGATAGTATTTTATTGTGTCCTGATATGAATTGCATTTAGAAAAAAACCGGTTATCATCATTTCTGTTGGTATGTATTGGTAAAAAATAACCTATTTCCAGCGTTATATTAAACCAATACACCTAAACCAGATGTCTGAACTGGGACAAAGGCAGCAACAAAGCAAAAATGAGGGCTCCCAAATCTCTGACAATTCACCAGAGGAGGAAATATCTATCAAGCCAGAGCCATTTCTCTTCTTCTGGTGCCAAAAAACGCAGACAGGCCTGCACACTCATGCACATGATGTGGGTCCACAACAGGAAAAGCCATGGAGTTGAGGAAACTAGCAATTACTTCTAACAATGTTTGTGGATAGCACAAGCAAACTAGAAGTCCAAACTGTTGGAAGATAAGCTGCAGAGTTATGGCTTCTCTGCTTCACTTTTAAAGCTTTTGAAAATGAAAAAATGATTTTCAGCATTTGGGCATCTGGGTCTCCCACTGGTCCTACAGCAGAACAATCAGCCTGTTGCACACACCTGTGATGTTTACCTCTGTGTACGTGGGAGGTGAGGATAGGAAGCCATCTGTCATCAGTGTAGGAGTTTGGAGCAGGGAGAACTAGAAGATTCATACTCACAGTATTTTACCAGAGATTGATAAAATACTGTCTTTGACTTGGCTCTCCAAGAATACATTAAATATCATTCCTTTTGTTGCAGAGGCTAACTAACTACAGATGAAAACATTTAGTAATAAGTATAATTCTTAGAATACATGTGCACACGTGTGCTGATGCCTGCTGTATATGAACATGATGATTTATATCCTAGCATTTACGATTTTTCTAATGCAACATCAGAGATCTATGAGCCCAAAGGTATAGGGCTGGCTATATTTAAATGTTCTATTACTTTTATTAATTTAATACCTCCATTTCAAGACTGATACATCCCAAAACATAAAAAAATGCTTTCTTCCAACCCTTTTTAATTTAACAAAATAAGTAAATAAATAACAGTCTTTATCTGATGTTATAGTACTTGCCATAATGATATATATAATAGGTTCACTAACAGGCTTCCCAGTGAGCCTTTCCTTCATGTGGATAATATAATGATTGGAATCTGCTCACAATATTGCAAAAGCACTAACGCCAGTTGAAAGTAGATGCTACACTATAACACAAAAAGTTGCAGTTATATTGTATTTGCAGTAACATATAAAAGCCTTGGTACATCTAAGTTATATACAAGTGTAACACATTATCTTAGTTCTCATTACTAATCTACTGTTTGTACTTTCTTTGTACTTGAACAGTTTGTTCAGGGCTGATACTGTATTTCCAGAAAAAGCTAGTCATATTATGTCCTTCACCGACAAGGACAGTACAATTTGAAAGTCATCCAAGTTTACATTCAGTACCTTAGGTGAGGCCTACAACTTGGCTTGCTGCCAAACTGTAATAGCTTAATCAGCATTTATTTGTATCGTTCTGTCCTCTAAACGTGTAGCTCTGTGCTAGCTAAGGCTACATGATAATGTTGAAGACAATGCAAGGCTAACTGCATTTGATGGTCTTTACATGTCTGATGTAGGACAGTCTATCTGGAAACACTGCAAAGGAGGTTTTGTGTCTGTTATTCAGATCACTGTGTAAACAGAAAGTTACTCCTTGGCTGAAAAAGCAGTAGTTGTGTGTTGTTAATAGATTATCCCAACAGAAATAAGTTACCTGGATGGAGTAATGATTAGCACACACATTGTAAATATGGAGTGATAGGAAATCCTGTTGTATGAAATACGTGTTATATATGTAAAGCTCACACAAATGTTAGTGGGCCCCTTAAACACCCCTATGGCAATATACACTTACTTATGAGTTTGGCACGCAAAAGAGTATTATATTACCTTACACCTAGCCTTGTTGCACTAAGGAAGACCTTTGCACTAACCCGTGTTTACTGAGAAATTCAGTATCCCTATGAACAGTCCAAGGTGCTTAGTGCTAATAGAGCTGTGTAGTTGCTTCTCTCCAGAGCACTAAAATGCATTTGCACATGCTTTTATAGAGCCAGTCATTCCTTGGGTGAATGGACAGGCAGGCTGCTGCTGCTGCTGCTGACCCCGTCCTGGTCAGAAATAACCCCCTGTAGGATGTAACCTGAGCAAGGTGTGTCAATCCTGCCAACAGGTTTGGCAATGTCTCCCTGCTGTGACTGGGGCAATAAAGACCAACTGATATTCGGCTCCTGCTCCTCTACACTAACTGCAACCTGATACCTTGTAGGC